GGCTGACGACCCCCCCTCCGGTGACCCGCCCCCTGCCCTCCCCCATACCCATGCCCTGCTTTTACCGATTTGGGTTTCTTCTTGGGCGCGAGGTTGTCGTGGAAAGTCTTGGCTTCCTCCCAGCGCGGGGCCGCGGCGGTCCCTGCCCCCGGCCCGGGCTCGCGGGGCTCCCGGGGCTCCCCAGGCTCCATGCTCGGCTCTGATCCGGCCCAGCCAGAGCAGGCGGCTGCGGAGAGCGGAGCCGGCGGGGCTGGGCTGCGGGAGGGAGGCGAGTCCCAGGCGTGAGAAGGGGGCGGGCAGCGGTGGAGAGTGCGCGTGCGGGCCGGCCGGAGGGCGGGATGGGGTGGGGGGGGGCGGCGCTGGGGTGCTCAGCTCGCCCTGTCGGCAGCCGGTGCGTTGCTGCTGTTGCTGGTGGATGTGTATTTCAGGACAGCTGCGCTCTCCTTCCCCGACCGCCCCACGCCCGAAATGGGGGGGGTGGGCGGTTGGACCCTCGGGTTCGCAGGAGGAGGGGGCCTAAGACGGGCCAGAAGGCTGGTACGGGTTCGGGATTGCGGGGATAGTGTTCTTCGATGAGCTTATTCGGCACCGAGAAAAGGGGAGGCCTGCCGACTTTTTCCCCCCGGGGTGGTGATCCACAAAGGAAAAAATGCAAAGCTAGCCGCCCCCACAAAACAAAGATAGCCCCCGTCTTTCCCCTCTGATGCCAGGACAGTGGGACCCTGAGCGGCGTCCTCTTCCCTCAAACCCTAGTCCATTCCGCTGAGGGGGAGGAGGTGGTGGATGGACAGCTCCATCCACGAGCAGGAGCCTGCTCCTAGCTGGGGGCACAGCGGAGGGCCCAGCCGGGAAGCTCTTCCCCACCAAGGCGGAGGGACCCTTGAAGTCGGTGGCGAGACCAGGCTCCCCTTGGCCTGGCCGGGGACCCAGACCAGAGAGACTCCCGGGGACCCCGGTTCCTGCTAGCCCCTTGATGGCCAGCAGGGGGCGCACACTCCCAGGTACCACCTGCTGAGCTTGGTTAGTTATACGCCATGAAGTGGCTGGATCGAAAGAGGATAGAAAAGGAGCCTAGGAACCCAAGAGTCTTGGACCAACATCCTGGAGTTCTAGGGCATTGCCCTCCTTGGTGCAGACCCCGAGGTGCAGACATTAATGCCCCTCATTCCAAGGCACAGGCTAGGAAGCAGACAAGGGGCATCTCTGTGTGTGTCTAGAAGTGTGCAAAGGCGGCTGGGAGCAGCAGAAGAAAATACTGGCTTAGCCTGGTGGACGTCTGACTGGGATGGGGTACAGAATGGAGGGGTCTGCCCAGCCTCCATCATGACCTGGGAGGAACCAACCAAACCTTGCATGGGAGAAAAGGAGAAATAATCATAACAGAAAGTTTTAGGATTGGGGGAAGTATGTTCAGACTTGTCCTTCTCCAGGCTTGGTAGATTGTTTCCATACATAGCCTCAAACTCTCTCCCATCCTGCTTGCTCTTTGGCAATGTGACTTGGACACTTCTCCCATCCAGAGGTGGAGCTGAATCTGAGTTGACCCAGCGTCTTGCTTTGACTAAATAGAATGCTGTAGAAGTGATGCTGTGTGATTTCTAAGCTTAAGCCTTAAGAGACCTTGCAGCTTCCATTTTTGCCCTCTTGAGAGCCAGCTACTATGTAAAGGAGTCTGGAAAGGCCACATGGAGAGGCAGAGAGGCCCTGGAGGATAAGAAGCCAGTGGAGAAAAGTGGTTTCCCAGGCAACTGTCAGCATCACTTGCCAGACATATGAGTGAGGTCATCTTACTGCTCCAGCCCCAGCCCAGCTCCTAGTGCGGTGCAGCAGGAGGAGTGACCTCCACAGACAGCACATAAAGTAGCAAAACCTCCCCGCTGAGCCCAGGCAAACCAAAGAATTATGAAAAATGATACGTTTTTATCGTTTTAAGCATTACATTTTGGGGTGGCTTGTTACACAGCTGTAAATAATGAAACTCTAGGAAGGGGTCAATTATTCTCAGGTGCCTCATGGAGGAGGAGGAGGAGGAGGAGGTCATCAGGGAGAAGGTATAGAGTTATTTGGATGGCAGGGAGCACCTGACCCAAAGGTGAACCATCCCCGTGCTGTCCAGTGACCTTTGACCTGGGTAGTAGCCTGGGTTGAAAAGATGATCTGTGCCAACCAGATTCCTCTTTCTCAGGAATTTAGAATTGGGAAACAGGGGCTGGATAGTCAACTGTAAGAACAGAAGCCAAGGATGCTGCGAAATACAGTTGGCTTCCAAGAGGCCTGGATGGGCCTTAGCCAGCTGCAGTTACGTGCAACATAAATCTAAGAGGGAGCAGAAACTCTGTGAGCAGAATGAGCCCATCAGCATAAAGATGGAAAAGGGTTTCTGCAGAGGGCAGCAGAGACCCCATGAAAGAGAAACCGTGCTGCCCTGAGAGGGAGCTGCTTCTGGTCCTGATAGTTTCCCAAGTCCTAGCTGAAGCCCGGCTATAATGCCCATCTCTAAATTTCCATGAGATTCTCCACACTGCTTCAACAAATGCCCCTCAGAAAGGTGGTGGCTATTGGATTTGCTTGACTGGCAACTTTTCCCACCCTCTCCTCCTAGTAACAGGCCCTGCCTCCCTGGTCACAGGAATAGGCATGCGATGCCGCCCAGTCATATAACTCTATTTCCCTGGACACAGTGATTGAGCCACAACGGGGATGCGACCTCAGCTGCGCCGGACTCTTGTACAGGGATGCTGGGAGATTTGGGCTCTGTATTCTCTGGGGTTATTAATCTGGGACAATGTGAGCTGAGACCCATCTTTCCCTGTGGCAGGCGAAGCCCATCTGAAGAGGACTCAGGATCCCCGCACCTGAACTGCTCCCCCTGTGGGCTGGTTTTCAGCAAGACCAGGGGTGGAAGCCACCTCCTCCATGAAGCCTCCCTTCATCCTTTACCTGTCCCCCTCCCCTTCTCCTCCCCTACCTCCTGGTCCCCCCCCAGGCAAGACCCTCCCTTCCTCTGATGCCCAGAGCTCAAGGTTTGTTACCTCCCTTTTCACATCTAGATTTGGATTCCCTCCCGTGGATGAGGAGGCACTATAAGCAGTGGCTTTGAACTTAGGAGACCTGAGTTCAGATCCCAGCCTTACCATCCATTCTCTGAGCCTTCATTTCCTGTCTTTTTTTTCTTTTTTAAACAGAGACTTAAACGTGTGTTCAGCTCAGCTGACAGGGAATCACATGGGAAGCTCTTTGGTTACTATGATGGACTGTGTACACATGAGGGGCCAATTGTTTGAGGTCTGGGAGGGCTTCACAGAGGAGGAGATCATTGAGACAGGGGTACGGGTGGCCCAGGGAGGGGCAATGGCTTGCGCACAGGCACGGAGGCCTAAGAGATCCCTTAGGGAAACAGAGGGCAATTCAGGGTGACTCAAGTGCAGGAGGGGGAGGTGGGGCTTAGAGCAGACTTCTGAGGTCAGCAGGGGACAGATCATGCAGGGCTGTGAGGGACTTCGAAGGAGCTTATTATACTGAGGGAAGAAGCGGGGCATTGGAGAGTTGACATAGTCAGACTGGTGCTTTAGGAAGATCACTCTGGTCCCTTAGGGGCAGACGGTCCAGAGGGCAAACTTGAAAGCGGAAGCTGGACTGACCTGTGACCTCAAGACAGGCAGGAACTAGACTCCCTTTCCCCTCAGTGTAGTTTCAGCTGCAAGTAGCAGCCCCCAACCCCCACCCCGCCGCACCAGTTCTCAGGCTTCTGAGTCACCTCCTTAGGTTCATGGTTGCCCTGAGGCCAGGTCAGCCTTATTCCTCTGTCCTAATTGCTTCCTGTCAAGGGAGCTGGCCCCCTCCAAGCGTCCTTGTGAAAACCCTTGCAAAAGTAATTGAGCGTTTCAGGAGGAAGCACGCATCTCCAGCTGCCACTGCACCTGCCCCCCCCCACTCCCCGCCCCGCCCCGACTCCCTGCAGAGCACAGCTCTTCTCTGGCTTTAGGGGGGGCGTTCTGAGAAAAACAGTTCACCACCGATTCCCATCCCCACCCTACCACATTTGGGTCAGTGTAGGGTGTCTCAGGGCTCTGGGCTCTTGTGGATAGTGGAACAGTGTCTGCAGTACACAGTACCCTTGACCAGGAGGGCAGGTAGAGGCTGAGATCCAGGCTGGCTGCCACTTGCCAAGCTGTGCATCATGGCATGACAAGGCTGTATTTGTTCAGAAAAGGGGTATATTTTTCTCATTAGCCCAAAGGTGCCATCCATTGGCCGAGCTGAATGCTTATGGGACTGTTACACTCAAAGGGGCACCTTTTCCTAATTCGTGCAAAGAGCCCCAGATGGACTACTTGTAATCCTGGCTCTCAGCCTCTCACCCCGCTGCCCACTATCCACTCATTTGGGCTCTCACGATGCCTTCCACTGGACACAAGGAGAAACTGAGTCCAAGGTCTCCTGCCACTAGCTCCCTTATGGGGGAACTGCTCTGCCCACAGACCCCGCAAATCAGTTCTGGTCTGGCCATCGATGAACGGACCATGGGCTCCCACCAAAAGCTAACCAGATTCTTTCTCTTGAGAACTGGATTAAGAGACACAGAAGGGAATTGTCAGTCGCTGGTGAGTCTGGATACAGAGTTGGAGATGCAGCCACTTTGTGTTGGGAAACCATGGATGTCTGAAGAGAAATTAAGGAGAGAGCACAGATGTGAATGTTGCCAAAGGGATGAGAACCCGCAGGCCCAGAGGTGAGAGGACAGAGGCCCCAATGACAGTCCCAGTTCTCCTGAGGCGCAGACATTCTTGAATTTCCATCTCTAGGGTCCCTTGTAATCTGTTCACCCCTTTCTTTGAACTAGCTCGTGTGGGTCTCTGTTCCACGTAACCTAGAACAAGGACCTCAGCCCCAAGGAGGATGCTGAGGTTCCCCCACTGTGTGAGCTCCCTCAGGCCTCTTCTCCCCGTTTCCCCTCACCCCAGCCCTATCTCAGCTTAGGGAAGAGAAGGAGCCCTCGGTACGGTCACACCTTTTATTCACTGTCAGTGAAAAAAAAAAAATACACCACACAGCACAGGGTCGAACACTGAGGACATTCACTGCAGGCACAGCCTGGAGCAGCACATCTGAAGGGGACAGGGGGCCACGTTGGAGAATGAGTTGGGAGGCCCCCCTTCTGCCACCCAGCCCCCCTTGCTTCTCCAGGCCTCCACCAAAGCAGGAAGGGCCATACACCCTGGAGGTCCAGTCCTGCCCCCAACACTCTGGCAAAGGTAAAAGAAAATGCTGAGAAGTTCAGGAAAAAAATTCCATATTTTTCTGAGACTTTTCAATTGCATATTTGAATTATTTTTTTTCACAAAACGGATGAATAAAATATGTAAGAAATGTATTCATGCCCCCACAGTGATCTCTAAAGTCAGCACAAAGCCTCACCCAGGGTGGATCTTCAGGAAATATTTGTTGCTTTAGTAAATTTTTGTGTAAAAATATTTAGTGTCAGCTTTCTACCCTGCCCAGCTTCTTCTCTTCTTCTCTCCCTTTCCCTCCTCTCCGCTCTCCTCCTTCTCTCTCTTTGCAGCAGGATGAATTTCTACCTCTAGGGACTCTGCCATTATCAGGAAAAGATTCAGTGCCTTTGCTTATGGGCTTCCTGTTTCTTAACTTTTGATTTAAACGTAAGTCATATAATCTTGAGTACAGCTCAGAAGACTAGAGTGGCCATCTGAAGTTGCCCTTGGTGGTGACTTTTAGAGATAAGAAATAAGGGCCCCCTTTCAATTAGCCCAAAAGGATGAATAAAGACAAAATACAGTTAGAAGGCAGATTTGGGGACCTTGTAATTCACAGAGTTGCTGCAAGAAGATACAGAACTTCAAAAGAGAGTTTAAATATTTCGGCATTTTAACTGTCTGTATATTTTTGTGTCTAGGCGAGTCATACTTCAGTCTCTGCTAACCCTGTGCTCTGTGGCAAGTCCCTCTTAGCTGCAGCAGGGATGGGAGGCCTGCCTCTCTTCTCAAGGCAGGGCCGGTGCTCTACCACAGGAATTCCCAAGCACACAGTCCCTGGGGACATCCAGGAATAAGTGGGAGCAAGGTCTGGCCTGCCTCTGGCCCTTCCCATCAGCAAGATGGTGGTCCCAGCTCCCAACCTGGCATTACGTGTTCACACTGCTGAGATGTCTGAGAATCTTTGGCCTGACCGTCAAAGATCACCCATGGGTATATGTCCAGAAGCTTGGAGTGATCAAACATGCCTTCATGGGTAGGACTTGCCCACCATCTAGGAAAAATCAAAACAGTTCTCTCAGGGAGGAAGATAATAAAGACAGTGAAAGATGCTTCCCGGGTTGAGTCAGAGGTCTCCTAGGACAGCACTGACCTGTTAGCAGAGCTGCCCAGAAATAGAAAATAAGACGCTTGAAAATGTGGGGACTTCAGTCAAGCTCCTATTTCTTTATGGAAGACCACAGCCTCAGAAACTTCTTAGCAGGAAGCTTGTAAAAGACCAAAACCAACTTAGCTTGTCCTACAGTCAATCTCTGTACAACTCAGAGTCAGAGGAATGAGCAGGGAAGACGCTCTGAAGGGAAGAAACCCTTGTAGAGCCCTGGGTTCAAGTCTTGGCACTGTGCCACCTCCTGGCTGTGATCTTGCACAGGGAACTCTACTCTGTGCCTCAGGTTCCACATCTGGAGAAATGGAATGAAAATTCCTATTTCCCTAGGCTGTGAGGATAGAATGAGAGGGGTCAATGCAAGCCTTCGAAAGCCATGAAGTTCTGTGTGATTGTGAGTTAGGTTAGAGTCAACGCTGGGGGGACAGGAACCCCACTTTGTAAAAGCCTTCCACTGGAAGTCTCATCTGAGCTGGGCTGTTGAGTCCCTATGTGCCTCTGGCGTTGACTGACAGCCCAAGACACACTTAATGGCCAGCTCCTGAGAGCAATGAAACATCCCTTGAGACATTACTGGATAAAAACTTGCTGCTTACTGCCCAAGGATGTGAATTCCCCAGTCTTACCATGTGGCTGGTCGTTGGCAGGATAAAAAGAGGGTGGCAACCCAGCGGACTTGCCACCCCTAAGGGCAGCAAGAAGGAAAGTCTAATAGAATTTGAGACCACAGGTCAGCATCCCCAAGAGTTTCCGCCTGCAGAGAGGGAGGACAGGTGAGCACTCCAAAGTAAGAGATATGCTGCATCTCTTTCTTGAAGATACAACCCCACGCCCCCCAACCCAGCAATCATTCCCAGCTCCCACCCTGGGCTGACAGCACCTGTGTACTAGACTATTTTCACCAGCAGTTCAAGAGAAAATCCACTGTCACTGCACATTGAAGTTAATTTCTGATTACAAGCACAGGAGAAAGTAAAGTGAAAGACTTGATGAAGAAGCAAGATTAATTTTCTGGCATTCAAAGCATGCAGCTGTATAGCTCATGGATCCAAAATTGGAAAGCAGACATTGGAAAGCAAAGCCAGTGCACTTGGAAGATGATGAACTACCTGGTGGACTTAGGATTTGGGGTTAGAAAAAGCCTTTCAATGGAGCATGCCCAGCACATTTTTAGGCATTTGGTCCATACATGCAGCCTGGCAGCCAAAACAGCGGCCGGCTGGTCCTCTTCTTCTAGCTCCGCCTGCTTCTGTAGCAGTGAAAGAATAAGCCCATCCTTAAACTAGAGCAAATCCAGATGTGGAACTACACTTGTCTCACTCTTGGCAAACCTTGTGTTCTCGTTTGTGAAGTCAGCACCTAACCAGAATAAGCGCACAGCAGAGACGTGCTCGCTGAATTGAAAAAGATCATTAAAAAGGAAGCAGCAGGAAGTGCTAACTGTGACAGCTCAGGACTTAGCCTGATAAGAAAAAGTGTCATCTGGTAAGTTGGGTGATATTGTCTCTCTTTTTTCTCAGTTCTTTTTTCCCCCTGAAAATTAGCATCTTCTGTATCCATTTAATCATTTTACAAGAAACCAAGTAATATAAAGTATGTTTTAATATCCTCAACTAATAAAATGATTTTAGCTCTTTTAAAGGGTCCTAAAAATATAGGTATTACATAAATTTCAATTTTTCTTAAAATTCTCCCTGACATGGTTCCTAGACTTCCAAACACTTTTCATTTCATCCTTCTGCAGCTCTGTGTGGAGTTGAGCAGAAAGATTTAATAGTTCCTCTCAAACTAACCAGTCTCACCGCACCCTCTGCTCACCTGTGCTCAACATCCCTGCCTGAGGCCCTGACCACTAACCACCCTACGAGCTGCCGGAGGGTACAGAATGAGTCTTGTAAACTGCCATAGCCTTAGCACCTAGAGGCGCCTGGCACTGAACAGGTGCTCAATAACTGTTAGCTGAAGAAAGGACTGAATGAACACTCCAAAGGCTGGGGCCACAGGGGCCAGGTAGAGTCGTGGGGGCAGGACACAGACCACCTTTAAGGGATCTGGGTCCTCAGCAAAGGACAGACCCAATTTGGCCCTTTAACCGGGGTCTGTGGGACCACATCCTATAAAGCACAATCCCAGGAAGAACAGAATTTCAAAGCAGAACCCAGCCCCCCTCCTTCACCCTGCACCTTGATGCAAAAACCAACTCCCCTATGCCCAGTGGATGTTGATTCTGGGCCAAGACTGGGGCTGGGGCTAGACCACAGGATACCTGAGGATCTGTCTCTATTCCAGAGTTAGGTGGTCCCTCAAGGATCTTGACTGAGGGGAGCAAGGACTTGGGCAGAGGGGTGGGTGGGCCAGAGAGTGAGGCTGGAGTCCTCCTCCCCCTGGGGAAGGGCCAACCAGAGGTCACTGGGTTGGGAGGTGGCCACGCCCCTCCTGGCCAGGGGCCCTGCCCCTCACCAGCCTCTACTTCTGCATGTCACACTGCAGCAGCAGCACAATAGACGGGTCACTCTTGGCCGCCTCCTTGAACTCCTCCAGTGTAATCTGGTCGTCCTTATCCTGGTCCATCTTCTTGAAGATCTTGTCCACACGCTGCTGGGGCGTGAGCCCATCCTGGTTCATGCGCATCATGATCACAGTGCCCACCATCTTGTAGATAGCCTGGTGGGGCAAGAAGGCAGGTGTTAACACTCACAATGGGAAGGGAGGATTGGGGGTGAGCGAAAGGGCCTGGGGGTGGGCATGGAGAGCACTGGGAGATGTGAGCATACTGGAAGGTGACAAATGGTCATTAAGACTGGTGATTTAATGAGCATCTCACACCAAACATGTCTACTACCCAACTCTTCACCTCCAACCTGCTCGGGCCCCAGCATGCCCTGTCTCAGTGAACAGCAAATTCATTCTTCTAGATGTTCAGACCAAAAGCCTTGATGCCATTCTCGACTCTCCTTTTCTCACACCCATATCCAATCTTTCAGCAAATCTTGTCAGCCTTAATTTTGTAATAGGTCCAATAACCAGCCACTGCCTGCTACCTCCACTGCTCCATGGTTGTTGCCTCCATCCCCTCCTGACCGGACTGCTGTGGAAGTCTCCAAACTGGTCTCCCTACTTCTGCTGCCCTCCCACCCCCTATTCCACACAGAGAATGGAGAGAGCCCTTAAGGGCCTCCCATCTCACTCAGAAGAAAGTCAAGTCTCTACCCCAGACTATGATGCTAAGAGATGGACTCCTGGCTACCTATCTGACCCCCTTCCTACCACTCTCCCCTTGCTGACTTCTCTCCCACCACCCTGGCCTCCTGGCCACTCCTTGAACACTGAAAACACAGTCTAACCTCAGGGTCTTTGCATTTATTGTTCCCCATGCACAAATCACTCTTCCCCCAGACACCTACGTGGTTAGCTCCCTCACCTTATCCAGGTCGCTGCTCACCTTTCACCTTACACAAAATTGCTTTTCCTCCATCGCTCTCTCCCCTCACTTTGCTTTACTTACCTTCTTCATAACACTTACTGCCTGACACAGCACAAGTTTTGTTGTTGTTAAATTTTCTCACTAGAAGGAATGTCCCATGAAACCAAGAACTTTGGACAGTGCCTGGCACGTGGCAGGCACTGAGTATACATTTGTTGAAATAATAATGAGTTAAGAACTTAGACTCTGGAGTCAGACTCCTTAGACTGGAATCATGAACCGCCATTTGATTCATCTCCTCATCTGTAAAATGGGATTTCTAACAGTACCTACCCCCTGGAGTTGTTGGGTAAAGCACTATAGCACAAGACCTGTCCCACACTGAGCGCCCAACCAATGCTACCCACTGGTTCCTGGGAGGAGGGAGGAGGGGAGTGGTGGGGTGTCCCGAGGTGGCTCCCGAGGCCTGAGTGGAGGGTGGCTGGAGAGGGCGGTGCCAGAGAAGGGCCCCGCAGCAAAGACAGGTAGCGCGTCACCCCAGCGCACCCCAGTCTCTGGGATCCGCCCCAGCGCACCTCAATGATCTCCAGCATCTCGAGGCGTGTGATGCGCCCGTCGCCGTCCAGGTCGTACATCTCAAAGGCCCAGTTGAGTTTCTGCTCGAAGGTGCCGCGGGAGGTGACCGAAAGGGCGCAGATGAACTCCCGGAAGTCAATGGTGCCATCGCCGTTCTTGTCGAAGGTGCGGAAAGCGTGCTGCGCAAACTTGGAGGCGTCGCCGTAGGGGAAGAACTAAGGCGGGGACACTGGAGTTGCGGCACAGCAACAGCCTCGCAGAGTGCCTGGCCCCGCCCCCGCCCGTCCGGCCCGCCCCCCGGGGTGCCTGGCTCCGCCTACCTTGATGTAGAGCTGCTGGAACTCCTCCAGGTTGAGGATGCCGCTGGGGCAGTCCCTCAGGAAGCCCTTGTACCACTGCTTCAGCTCCTGCTCACTGAACTCGGTGTTTTGAACCAGGTCGTCCAGCACCTCTGGGGCCAGCTTGCTGTTGGTCTTCCCCATGGCAGGGCCTGAGGGGACAGGGAGCTCCCTCAGTTTGGCCCAGGGCAAGGCCCTCACCTCAGCAGCCTTCCCCCAGGTCTCTGTAGGACAAGGCTCCCTTTCTCCACCACAGCGCCCTCCCATAACAAACTCCACATCCCCACAGCCAGGACCCCTCCTTCCATAGCAGGGTGGGTCCCCCTCCTCTCACCACCACCCTGGACAACCCCCAACTCCTACAGCTGGGCTGTGTCCTTTCACCACACCTCTTCCCGTAGGAGCTCCTACCTCCCCCCCCACCCCTTCCCCTACACACAACTGGGCTGGGGGCTTCCCCTCATTACAGGGCCTCCTCTGTCTACAGCAGGCCCCGCCCCTCTCCTCACAGCAGGGTTCCTGCCCTGGAAACCAGGATCTCTAGCCTTCCAGGTCTCAGCACTCTTCCTTCTCACTGACCAGTCTGCATGCTACAATCTTCATCCTCTCCTCTCCTCTTTACACCTTCCATAGCTCCCTACACCCGTAGAAGAGAGTCTTAATCCTCCCCTTGCTATTCAGAGCTTTCCGCACTCAGCCCCTACCCACCTCTGCAGGCTCCTCTACTGCCAGGCAGGTTCCTCACATGCTCCCCCTGCATGTCTCCCAAGTTCTTCCTCAAGGCCTTCCAGGCCACTCCAGCAAGAAACTTCTCTCCCTCCTTCCTCTGTACAAATAGAAGTCCTAGCTGGTAGCACTGATGACGCTGATTGCATTCTCCTTTTCATTCGTTCATTCATTCCCTGAGCATTTTTTTTTTGCGGTACGCGGGCCTCTCACTGTTGTGGCCTCTCCCGTTGCGGAGCACAGGCTCCGGACGCGCAGGCTCAGCGGCCATGGCTCACGGGCCTAGCCGCTCGGCGGCACGTGGGATCTTCCCAGACCGGGGCAAGAACCCGTGTCCCCTGCATCGGCAGGCGGACTCTCAACCACTGCGCCACCAGGGAAGCCCAATTCCCTGAGCATTTATTGAGGTTGACTGTGTGCTAGGCCCTGTCCCAGTGATGGAGATAAAGTCGACATGAGCCAGCCTTCACTAACTCATAATTGGGTCAAAGAGGTAGACGGCTGACTGTAAAGGGCCTTCAATCCATGCCAAGGAGTTTGGCCTTTACCCGTGGGGGACAGAAGCTCCTGGGGTTTTAAAGCAAGTGTTAAGAGGACCACATTCGTTCCACAAACACTTATAGATTGCTTACGATATGGTGCTGGGGACCCAGAGAGAAGGAATGTGTTTTAGGATTTTTCCTTTGGCTACAGTGTGCAAGATGACCTGGGTGCGGGAAGGAGGGAGAGCAGAGAGGTCCTGCTGCAGAGTTCAGGTGAGAGACAATAACACTAGGGTAGGGGTGGTGGAGGGATGTGGATGGACTGAGAGATGTTAGGAGGGGCCTTAGCAGGACTTGGGGACTGAATGGATGCGGGGGTGAGAGGGACAGAGGAATTGCGGCCAATGCTCAGATTTGGGGCTGAATAGATAGAGGTGGTGTTGCTGAGAAACAGGTTTGGGAAGAATGAAGAGTCAGTCCCCAGTGGGAACATGAGCCCCTCAAGTAGCCTGTGCCCAAGGAATTTTTTGCAGAGGGAGGTACAGGCCCTCCCCATGAAGCCTGGCTAGAGTGAGGCCTCCACCAGACCCGGAAGGCTGAGTGGACATTCAGGAATGTCCCACTAGAGCCCCAGTTTCCCAGGACATGGCCTGGGAGGTGAATTTGACCTGCCTGGAGTCTCTTTGGAGGGGTGCCAGACTCTGACTGCAGGGTAGCTTGTCATGAAGACACTCTGGAAAAGGAAGCCCTCAGGCTGGCAGAAGGAATTCTACTTCCACAGCCCAGTGCCTGCCAGTGTGGCTTCTAATCCTTACTGCTGGGAGTGCCCCTAGGTAACTAGATCTGAGATGGGTCAGGTCCATGCCCCTTCCCTTGCTATGTGACCTCAGTGAGTTACAGGATAGCTCTGGGCCTCAGATTCCTCTACTGGGCCATGAGGCAGATCAAGGAGCAGTAGGGGTAGCAACATCCTCTCCCACTTACCAACCCCAGAGAATGAGGACTCCTATATGCTCCCAGAAGAAGGCAGGGAGGGGGGAGGTGTGCCATCTTCAGGAACCTAGAACTGTGGGGTCCAAAACGGCTGCCCTGGGGCCAGAGTCAAGGGTACATGTGGAACACGCATGGGCAGAAGGAGGCAGGCTCCATCTTCAGCTGCCCCCTCCTCCAGCCCAAAGCACACTGAGGGCTCAAGAACCCAGGGGTGGAAGTATCTGACGGGGAAGGCAGAGCCTCTCCCTCCGCTCCTGTGGGATGTGCCTGAGTGTCTGCGTAAAGGGCTGGGAGTGGGTGGGAGCACATCAGCGTATGAGACTGCAAATCTGCCAGAGTGCACACGTGTGTGTGTGTGTGTGTGTGTGTGTGTGAGATGGCATCTGTGTGACTCTCACTTCCTGCCCCTTTTCTCCTCCTTCCCTGCGCTGCCTTCCTACCATTTTCTGTCTCCTGGGGCCATACCTGTTCTCAGTGCCCATTTGATCCCAGGCCCACCAAGGACATGACTCCTCCTTCATCTCTCTTCATTCCTTCTAGTGCTCTTAGGTCAGCAGGCCAAAGCTGGTGATGCCCTTTAAGATCATCCCCTCATTTTAGTGAAAACTGGAACCCAGAGAGAGGAGAAAACTGGCTGAGTTACACCCAGGCTGAATCCATGCCACCTGCCTGGACCACCCTCTCCAAATCATGGCTACTCTTGTCTAGTACAGACTCCTACCTGCCTTCCAGGAAAACCATAGCTCTGATCTCCCCCTTGACCTCAGTGGGACCATCTTGGTGGCTCCAGGCCACAGTATCTGATACCCAAGAAATATCGACCCTTTGGGGTGGCGCACCAGCGCCTCTGACTCAGCACATCTACAACCAGACTCACCCTCAACCCGTGATGGTCCTTCTCTCTCCATTGCCCTTCCTTCCTTCCCTCCCTCATCCCAGTTGGGAAATGTGATCATAGTTACCCTTAGTTTCCCCTCTCCCTTTTCCCTAGGTTCAACTTGCTACCAAGTCCTATTGTTCCTTCTTTAGAAGTGTTCCTGGAACCTACACCATGTCCCCTCTCCCCACATAGTCAGGGCCAGGGGCACAGCCAAGGGGGCTGAAACCCAGCTGGGGCACTGCTTGCCAAGCCATCCTGTGGGCTCAACTGCCTCGGAGGGGGTGCGTTTCCTTCTAATTCCTCTGTTCCACGAGAATGTCTTTTCTAGTTTTGCCCAGAAGTACAATATAGGCTAGGGGTGGCCATGCCCATGGGCTCCTGAAACTCCAGAATCCGCTAGAATCTGGTGTCAAGGTGTCCACCTGTCTTGCCTAACCTCCCACTGCTCCCCTCACAATTGCATACTTTCAAGTTAGTCTTCTCACAGCCAGAACCTACTTCAACTATTGCTTAGCTGTTTCCATCTTCCTTAATATCCTCTCTTCTCTTCGGGGCGGATGCAGCTATAATCACCCTTCAGGCCTGACTGAAGCCCACTTCCTTATGATCAGCCTCTCCCAGCCTGGAGAGTTGACAGTCAGCAGCATGGACTTGGCATTCTGGGCATGAGGAGAACCTGTGAGCCCATGGAGTTGAGCCCCACAGGTGCGTAGACTTCAGAGCTCTCTGACCCTCACGTGCTGCTCTAGAATTCCACAATGGAGCCTGACTTGGGAGAGACTTTTGCGTTACACTCTTGTCTGAGCCAGAAAATGTTCTCCAGGACTTTTGCTCCATGGCAAAGAGCTTATTCCCTCCCGATATAACCCAGTCTGTTTGGGAGCAGCTTGGACAGTGAGGAAAGTACTTCTCCCCTTGTTCCTACTTGCCCTCTTGTAGCTGCCCCACACAGGTTGCCACTCTGCCCTCTGTGGCAACACAGAGCTGCTCTGCAGAGACCTAAAGGCCACATCTGGAACACAGAGATGTTCAGTGAATGTCCCTTTGTGGATTATATGCAAGGGGCAGAACCCCCTTCTTTCTCCTTGGAATGGCGTCAGGCTGTTTTGTTTATCTGTGTTCTCCTGCCATCGCTCCCACTTAGAGACAATGGAACCCAGACCCTAGGAAAGGAAGAGTTCACCCAAAGTCAAGTAGAGCCTATCAGCAGAAAGGCGAAGGCCAGAACCCACTGGGGGCATGTTCTGTTGGAGCTGTGGCCTGGCTGCATGTGGGCAGGCTCCTCTTGAGAGCTGCCCTCCAGCTGTGAAGGAGCTAGCACTGCCCCATACACAAAGCCACTGCCCTTCTGGGCTCAGAGGCTTCTTTCAGAGGGCAGGACTCAGGGTTGTGGGCTCCAAATGCGGAGATGGCAGGGAGGGTGGGAGGGGCTGAGGGAGGCAATAATCCCACACCCTCACCCAGCTTCAGAGGAGCTGGTGCTGAGACTGTTGCCATGGTGACAACAGCTCCCTGGTCAGGAGATTTTTCTCTTTCCTCTCCTCCCTTCTCCCTTTGCTCTTCTCCAAGCAGTGGCCATGGCAGCAAAAGCCAGGTCTTCTCCCTCTCCTTATTAGTGAGACACAGGGAATGATAAACAAAAGGTGGGCCCTGTTGAGCACCTCCACCTTGGAGCTGCCCATGCCATGCGGGCTGATGGTCTAGGAGGGACTCCGAACTGCTGAGGGGGAGCCTGGGCCTGGAGAGTATGTGGGAAGGGGTTGGCCCATACCCAGGCCTGGGTAAGAAGCAATGTCCTTTTGGTGAAGACTAAAGCCTCCTCTCTGAAATGTCCTAATGGTTCAGGGTAAGAGAGAAAGGGTCCTGTTCTCTCATAATCAACCACAGAACCAGAGTGCGTCAGTGTTGGAAGGCTGTCCAATATCATCTCATCAAGTCCACTCTCTGTCCTGCCCACCCTGCCCCTGTTCCCCATCTCACGAAGGATCAGAGAGGGAAGTGACTTGGCCAAAGTCAAACAGAAACTGAGGCAAAGGCAAGATTTGAACCCAGCTCTTCTGCCCTCCAGGTTCAGGCTGCCTTAGGGAAGGAGCAATACAGTCCACATGGAGCTTTGGCACGATCCCTACTGAGACACAGGAAGATAGGAGAGAGGGAGTGGCTGGGAGCAAGAAGGCCAGAGAGGGTACGAATTAGAAAGATATTTGAGAGGTGGAATGAGAAAACTTGGTGCTTGGCCGTGAGAAGTCAGGGGAACGGAGGAGGCTGGGACCTTGGCAGTGGTGACTGACAGGTATGGATGGTCTGCTGGGGAATGGTGTCCCTGATTTATCTTGAAGCCAGGTGAAAGAGGCCAAACATGGGGCCTCTCCCTTGCACTGAGACCATGGGCAGGGGGGCCTGTTGAGAGAGGGTCACAAGGAGGAGAACTGGGTGGTGAGCCTCTTCCCACCCCCAGGTATGCTGTGAGCTCTGTCACCTTGAGGGGTGGAGGTGGGGACAGTCTGAGGGGACAGTGTGAAGTGGGAGTGGGCTCTCTTTGGAGGTGGAGGCTGTCTTTTGGGGCAGGGACATTGCGATGTGAACTGCAGTGAGCTGCCGGTGGGGCCGGGTAGGGTGTGGGTAGGGGCTATCTGTGGAGGTGGGAGGTTGCCATGGGGCTGAGCGGACTACCCACCTGCAAAGGAGGGAGGGTGATGGGTTCCTCTCTAGCACCGGCAACACCACACCCACGTGTGTGTGTGCGTGTGACTGTGTATTGGGGGCCAGAGCAGTGGTTGCTCGGGGGGTAAGGAGGCAGCTCTGCCTCCTTCCCTGGGACCTGTGGGGCGTGGACTGGAGTGGGGGGGTCCCCTGGCCAGGGGCGAGCCCTCCACATGCTGCCGCCTATGCTGGAACCAGGGGTCAGGGAGATGAATCACAGGGGGCAGGAGACGAGGGAATGGGAATGAAGAGTGGAGGGGGAAGGGACAAGGGCCTCCACCCGGCCCTGCCCACGTTACCTGAGGCCGTTCGCCGGGTCGCTGGATGACTCTGAGCCTCGGCGGGCCGCGGAGACTGAGACTGGCTCGCGGGCCGACGGCCAGGTTCCCCAAGGTCCGCGCCCGAGTCGCCTCCCAGCTCTTGTATCACTATGTGTCTCTCAGAGGCGACACGATTTGCATAAGCCCCGCCTCATCCCGGTCAGATTGGGCGTTGATTGGGTCGGCTGAGGCGGAGTGGCAGGCGGGGTTTCAGGTGGGGACCTGGTGCCCAGTGAGGCCCGGCTGCAGGAGAGCGCTCCGCCCGCCCGCCCTGAGCTTCCCAGAGTAGCGAGGAAAGAGCGGAGAGCTGTACCCCCATCTGTACCCCGTCCTGAGGCTCAGACCCCGGGCCATCGTCTGAGGTTAAAAGTGTCCACGATTGAATTGGATTCGCAAAAACAACCGCATGGTTGCTATGGAAACGGAAGAGCCAAAGCTGAGTCTCTAAGCCTTTCCTTCTTGGGCCCCAGCGGGGGTGGGGATGGAAAAGAGGATGAGTCACAAGATGTGTCCCCCCCCACCCCATATCCCACCCAAAATCGGAGGAGGGCAACGAGGAGCTGAGTTGGGGAGGGAAGAGATGAGGTGGTCAGCAGCCCACGCCTTCGCATCATCCCCTCCCCCAACACATCCACTCCCCTCAAGCCATGGCGGGTGGGCGAGGATGGCAAAGTACCCAGCCTCTACCTAGCCCCATGCTAGCCGTGGGCCCCCCACAGCCTCTAATTCCGATCCGTCCCTTCCTTATTTCTCACGGAGTCCCAGAGGCCTCCCGGAATCTCCCCCGGAAGGATCTGCCTACCTCATGAACCCCTCCATTCCCCACCCTCCCGTCTTCCCGTCCCGTAGACGAAGCCTGTCCCCAGCCGCCAGTCTCCGGCCTCTGATGTTGACACAAGCCAGAGGCAGTTTACACTGAGTGGGTCTGGAAGGTTTCAGGGCCCTGGGAACACCTCCTCCCCGCACTTGGGGGTCTCCCCAAAGCCGGGCCCGGCAGCCCCAGCTGCAGTGGCAGCTGAGAGCTCCTGACCCAAGGCAATGAGAAGGAATCCTTTTACGCCAAACTGGGGGCGAAAGGGGAGCAGATACCCTCGGGTTGGGCCACGTGCGGGGGAGGCACTTCTAGCCATCTGACAAAAGTAGGGCGGGGCATCTGGGGATTGGTTGAATCTGAGCCCGGATGTTGAAGAGCTTGGGGGCGGTGGAGGCGGGGCTTCTGCCAATTGAGTGAGTGTTGAGGTGGGCTGCGCAATAGGGGATGCGGACCAGCTTGCCAAGAGGGGAAGCTAGGTTTCTCTGGCTGATCCCAGAAACTTCAGGGCCAGGCTCGCTGGGGAGGAGCCACTGGAGTTCTCTCTTTTTCTTTAAAAATCGCCCCGTTCCCCGTGAAAACTGTTTTGCTGTCCATCCTCCCAGCTGCAGGCTATGTCTTCTCTCTGGGGTCCTAGCAGGATGAGAGCATACCTGGGGCACCAATTAGCAGGCATGTCCCTGGCCCCTTTGTTTGGTGATTTACGAGAGACAGGTGTTTGAAAGTCCTGACTCTGTCACGTTCTGAGCACCTGGCCCTGGGGACCCAGAGACAGGCAAAAGCTCATCCCTGCTCACAGATACCATAATCTAAGGCATGAGGAAGTGGGGAGAGGCAGCATGAGATGCTGGAAGTGGTCTCTGGAACTCTAAAATAAAATCCCATCTTTGCCAGTGACCCCACATGTGGCCATGGGCAAGACCCTTCTCTCTCTGTGCCTCCCAGTCTGTAAAATGTGGGAGCTGGTACAGGAGGCCCAGGAGAGCAGGGGAAGAGTTTCAACTAGGAGGGTGAAGAAAGATTGTCACCGTGGACAGAATTATGTGGGCATGAATCTGACTGCTCCACTACACCTGTGAGCTTCTTAACAATAGGTAACATACAGGTAGCTTACTTTGTGCCAAATGCTCCTCTAACACTGTATATGTATTGTCTAATTTATTTCTCATAAGAACTCTTCGAGGCAGGTACTTTTATCACTCCCATTTAACAGATGAGGACAGTGAGGCACGGAACAGTTAAGTGACTAGCCCAAGTTCACATAGCTAGTAAAGCTGCAGAGCTTGGATTTGAACCCAAGCAGTCTGGCTCCAGAGCCCAGACTTGTTGCCAGTACACAATACCGCCTCTCTTTAAGATCATTCAAGTCCTCAACGGGAGGGGCCTTGGATTGGAATACTCTTCCCTGATCCCCCAAGGCATTAAAAAGACAAAGCCCAGCAGGATATATTGGTCCTGCTCTGGCTCTTTACTTCAGGCAGGACCACCCACACAGCTTTGCCCTTGACTCATCCCCGGCCCTGTGACTGTTCCTGAACTGCCAGTCATAACCCATCTTCACCAGCTTATAATACTTGAGACCCTGATCTTGATCCTGCCTCTGCCCTTTAGGTTCGATGTTTAAAGCAATAGCAACTGACATGGACTGAGTTGCTTCACTATGTACCAGACACCCTTGTTAGGGGAAACACTGACTGAAACCGCCTGCCCTGGCCAGGCAAAGACAGTAACAATTTGCATGGCTTATTTTACGACAGGAGATCCTGGTAAGGAACATGGAACTAATAAGCCACCACCAACCGGAAGAATATGGGAAAGGTCAAAAGGAGAGAGGAGAGGTCAGTCCACATGTCCCGCCAACCTCCCAGACTCCTCGCTGGAATCCATCTTGGCTGAGCGGTTGTGCGTGCCACCAGAAAGGACCCTGAGTCAGAATGATTGGCCAGAGACAACCTGGAAACTAATCCCATCACCCTAAAACCTGAGACTGTGGGCCACGTGGCAGAGCAGTCCTCCTGGGTTCCCTTACCCTCCCGCTCTCCACCCCGGGCGCCCCTTCCCTATAAAGTCTCTTGCTGTGTCAGCACGTGTGTCTCCTCGGACAGTTCATTTCCGAGTGTGAGACAAGAGCCCACTCTCGGGCCTGGGAAGGGGTCCCCCTTCCCGCAACAACTCTGCCCAGTCCTTTATCTGCATCATCCCAGAAATGACCTTTGCCAGGGGTCATTTCTGTTGAGGCACAAGCGTTACCAATCAGAACAGATGCTGGCCTTAGTGCTAGATCAAGGACTCCGTTCTGCCAAGAGTGAACACTTCAGTTACTGGATCAAGGGGAGCAGGCAGGGGAGAAGCTAGGGAGGTAGGGACCCAAGGCTATGGCTATTTACCAGTCAATTTGCAGGTATTTCGATGTTTTAACAGCCAGCTGTACCAGTGTGTAGGGACTGAGTTTCAGTGCTGGTAGCATTACTTTATTTCATGGCAGTGGATGGCAGCTCAGAGATGTTAGACAACTGGCCCATTGTAACACAGCCTGCTAGTGACAGAACTGGGATTCCAACCTAGGTCTGACTCCAGAGCACCCAGTCTTAACCACAAACTGTCCTGTGTTCCTGGGAAAGGAGAGCGTCCAGAACAAGAGTTGTTGTTTCCACTGTTCTGCGGCTAAAGGCTAAGCCAGAGGAATGAGGTTTAAGTTCTGAAACTTTGTTGTGGCCTCTCTGTTCTCAGGCTTGGCAATACCTACTATGTATGTTGAGGGAGTGGGCTCTGCAGAATAAGGAGGGCGGGGCAGGATGCAAGGAAGAAGGAACGGTGTGTCTGTGTGGGAGACCCCAAAAGGGAGGCACAGATGACACTGAGCCCATCAGGGTTTCAGTGAGGGCAAAAGTTTGCAGGCTGTGGCCACTTCAATTTGCTTCACAAAAATGCTAGCATTCCTCCCGTTGTTGGTCCCAAACTGTGCCTTTATGATGGATAATGCCTTCCTGGCTCCCTGGGTTTCCTCAGCCTTGGCAAGTGCAGCCTGGTGATAGCTGGAATTCACCTTGGTTCTAGATATTTCATAGTCTTCTTAGTGGCTGGGAGAGAGTAAGATCACCAGCTTTGGGCTCTCTCCCTTTCTCTATTGGCTAAGCAGGATTTTTTTTTTTTAATTTCCAAAATAGAAATCTTTTTTTTTTTTCCTGTTAATGCATAGTGGCTAAAAGAATAATAGAGAGGGTGGAAGTTCCCCATACTCTCTCCCTTGATCATTACGTGCAGGGGACCTTGTGTTTTGGCTGGCCCTGCCCTCACTCACTTTCTGCTGGAGAAGCCCTATAGTGTAGTGGGTTAAATGTATAGACCCTGGGGCCAGGCTGCCTGGGTTTGCATCCCAGCTCTATCACTTTCCAGCTGTATGACCACAGGCAGTTTACTTTATCTCTCTATGTCTCAATTTCCTCATCTGTAAAATAGGGATAGTAATAAGAGTACTTATTTCAAAGTGCTACTCTAAGAATTAAAATGAGTTAATATATGCAAAGCACTTAGAACCGATTTTGCTTTGGGGAATTAGCCCCCATTGTATACAGTCTTGGTGGGACTATCAATCCGGTGTCCCGCCTTCCCATGGGCAAGTGTTGGGCATGAGACTCAGGTAAGGCTAAATAGTCTCTCTCTCTCTCTCTCCCAAGCTAATCTGAATCTTGAGTAAGGTGACTCAAAGGTGGTAGATAATTAGCTCTGGTTTATTCCAGAGCAGTGCCCTGATGACACTGTACGTTCATTCCTGCTATCTGAATCCCCAGGGATCACTTTGGTACACATCTCTTCCAAGACCTACTTCTGCTTTTCCTTTGTCTCTGTGAGCCATTTCACATCCCTCCCCCCAAATTTATTTTCTTTCTCTTTTTTTAAACTTAAGCTATCTAAAGGTGACTTCTGTTTGCTTGCAGAAAGTTCATATGAGTCTGTCATATTTCTCTATCGGTAATGACTCTTGGTTGCAAATGACAGAAAATCCTGCCCACAATGGGCTAAGCAAAAAAAGGATGTAGTGGCTCCAGTAAGGTAAAACCCCAGGAGTAGAGTGGACTTCAGGCGTGGCTTGATTCAGGGGCTTAGACAATGTGATTAATATCTGACCTCTTTCTAGGGCTTGGCTTTACTCACTTGTGTCAATGTCAATTTTGTTCTTGGGTTCCATATAAAGGCAAGATATCTGCCATCATCTCTAGCCAACATCCTTTCAGGTGGAGTCCCACAGAAAAGAAGAGAATTTCTCTTCCCCAGGGCATCTAGTCAACATCCTGGGCTGGTTCTCATTGGCCTGATTTGGGACAGGCTAAGTTCAGAATCAATTGCTGAAAACAGGGGGATGCAGTGCTTTCATTGGCTAGGGCTGAGTCACTTGTCTACCCCTAGAACTGGGAGGTAAGGTCAACTCTTCCCAAAGGATGTGTATCCAGAGTAGGGAAGGAGGGTGTTCCTACCAAGGACAACAGAAGTTCCTAAATTATAAAAACACGTACAAGTTATACTATCAGAGTA